AATTTACATATTTATATATTTATACTTTCCATAACTGTAAATAATGTAACTATTTTTATGGCTATTTAAAACAAAACAAAAATATGGTGAATTTGTATTTAATATTTTAAAATATTAATATTTAATATTTATATTTAATAAAACAATATTTTGTTAACATTTATAGAATAAACAATATTAAATTATGTAATAAATAGTTAATTGAACTCTATTATATTTGGGGACGTACTATTGTATTGAACAAACATTATTATTATTATTATTATTATTATTTTGCATTTTAGGAAGCTGTAGTGTGCATCAGTTTACGCAGCTGTGCACAGATTCACCAATTTCCCGCTTGTCTCGGTTTAAATTGTTCATGTAGGCAGCCTGCGTTTTTGGAACACCGCCCTGACTCTGTAGTTCCCGCCCCTCTGCTCCAGTCTCAGCCTATTCGAGCGGATCAATGAGAGATCAGCTCATATTTGAACTGCTGCAGACAGCCAAAAACATACCATCGACAACGGGCTAGAATAAAGAATAAAGAGGCACAACAGAGGAGCATGGGTTGTCACAACAGCAGAGTTTGTGGCCAGGTCTCCCGGAAAAAGGTAGGTGGTTTTAGAACCTTCTCAGGATGTTCACAAATAATGAGTCACAAAGTTGCAATGAGACTCGCAGCAACGTCAGAGGCGAGAAATGTAGCGGATACAGCGCGTGTCAATGTATCTGTATTAAGCGAGCCACTCTTGATTTGTTCTCTCAAGTCACTTGTTACTTCCTCCCTGATGCGTTAGTCGACGCGAAAGCTCCCATGTTTAGTTTGTCGACTTGTGAGAGTTTTAATTCGAAACAGATGGCGGGTTCAACAGATGAGGTCTACTGTTGTTTAACATGTGCTGCTGACATTGATTATGACAAATTAATGTCGTGTTATCCTGCATTTATGTTTGAGCACTTTGTGCTCGCTTTTAAATTGTTCCGCTTTTCGGTCAATGACAAATCAGGATGTACGAGGTGATAAAAAGGTGAAATCTTTTTAAATGTAGTTTTTGTTTATTTTTTAGACACTAAACCTCCGTTTTCTTGGTGGTTTCATACATTTTGGAAAACATTTGAACGGTTATCTGACTGTAAATGTTATAATTTAGTGGTTTTTATTCATGTGTTTTGGTACACAGCTTAGTCATTATTTTTAAGCATGTTTTCAAGATAAATATTTAAAAAAATAAAATTAACTTTTAGTCATCCCTAATTAAATTGTTCCGCTTTTCGGTCAATGACAAATCAGGATGTACGAGGTGATAAAAAGGTGAAATCTTTTTAAATGTAGTTTTTGTTTATTTTTTAGACACTAAACCTCCGTTTTCTTGGTGGTTTCATACATTTTGGAAAACATTTGAACGGTTATCTGACTGTAAATGTTATAATTTAGTGGTTTTTATTCATGTGTTTTGGTACACAGCTTAGTCATTATTTTTCATTGTTTTTAAGCATGTTTTCAAGATAAATATTTAAAAAAATAAAATTAACTTTTAGTCATCCCTACGTTTTTTTCTTAGGGTTACTCCATTTGACGAACAAAATGCACGTTTTCATAAATGACATATGTGATATGTAATAATAATAATAGTAATAACGAGTGGCATTGTTATGTCTGTTTTATGTTGATTGCCAGACTACTTATGGAAACGTATTTTAGATATTTATGGAAACATTTTTATTTTTCAAGAGGAGTATTTTAATTTTAATTGTATTTATTAAAAGTATTTTAATTGGTCTTTTAAAAAATGTATTTTTATTTTTTTTTTTACACCACCTTGTTATTTTGAAAACATTAATCATAGAAGAGGTATATTCGAGCCACTGACTGTGCAAATTGCATTTTTTATGTATTAAAAGGGGGGAAAAAAGTGTTATTTCATTTGTCTACGTTTTTTTAATATGGAATATTTTTATACAGATATAATTTTTTTTATTCTTGAGTACGAAGAAGTTTCCTTAGGGTTACTCTTTTACCTAAAAAAATGCACCTTTTCATTGCACCATTCAAAATATGTGATATTTTTAACTGACCTTTACACACATGCATGAGGGTCTACAGGTGTCTTGTCTGTTGTATGTTGATTGTCAAACAATTTATTTAAATATTTGTGTTTTTCAAGAATTTCAGCATTTTAATTGTATTTTTCCTACTATCTCTGGACAGTCGCACCACCTAGACATTGAAAACATTCATCATAGAAGAGGCATATATAGCTATTTATTTTAATGAATTGCATTTTACTGTTCTTTATTTCATGCATGCATGCATTAAAAGTAAAAAAGTTTTAACGCCTTGATGGAAGAACCACTGGAACCTCACTGGCACTTTAAATTTGAAATTTCATGTAAATGCACGAGAAAAATCAATGCATTCCTGGGGCCTTCAAGCATACAGGGAAATCTGGCTTTGATAGCAACAGGGTCAAGCTTTCATTAGCCCAGATTGCTGAAGGATTTAGATTCACTGGGCTTAGATGTGACAGACACGGGGTCCCCAGTTTCTCACTGCTGGTTTTAATATGACCTATAAACAGCCAGAGTTCATTTGGTCCTGTTAATCACATAGCCATGTGTCCGTATACTTGACATGGACAACTGGAGAAGTGTGAAAAGTCTCTGAAGACCAAACAGAGAAAGCCTCACACTCACTATTACAGCTTCTATTGGAGCTGCATCAAAAGCAAATAACCACATGACAGTGAAGTGTAATAGAGCCAAGAGTTCATTAAAGTTCCAGAACGTTTGGTTCCCTGCCACAGAGAGCCAGCAAATGCATAATAGTGTTGTTGTGGATTAAACTGAATTATGAGATGGAAGCAGTTCCTGTTCTGGCTTTTTATTACGGATTCATTTTTGATTACTCATGATGCAAAAATTATGAGATGCAAGCAGTTCCTGTTCTGGGTTTTTATTGCTGATTAATTTTTGAAAAGTAAGCCTAGCCTACTAAATTGTTTCACTATTAGAAAGTTGTAGACCTTTAAAATGCTATTCATTGTTTTCAGTCACATGACTGGCGTGGGAGACCTGGAGGGCAAAACATCCATCGAACTACAGCACAAGCCTGTCAATTTTCCATCTGTTTCAAGCCACAAACATTTAGATCACCTCTCAAAAGAAGAAAAACAAAGATATGTGAACAGCCTGCAAGTTTTGGGCACTATAGTGATCCATATAAAGCACCTGCTGCAGTATTTTAATGACTAAAAGCAGTGGATAATTCTGTAAAAAAAAAAAACCTAATGTGTCTTAATGTACTGATATTAAAATATTAAATTCAACATACACCTTACTCATGATGCAAACTATGTATAGGCAAGCGGCTGAGCCCAGAATATGAATGCCTTAATGCGTTAAGCCATATTAAGCATTTTCTTTATAATGGTTTTTAATGGAAAAATGCTTGATGTGCAATTTAGTGAGCCGGATTCATATTCTGGCCACAACTGTTCGTCTGTACATAGTTTTCATGATTAGTAAGGTCTATACTGAGTTTGGTCTTTTAATATCGCTGTCGTAGTACATTAGTTCCTAATATAAATCTGGTAAAAATAAGCCCTCTAGGTGGCCATTTCTATACAAGTGCCACGTGAAAACTATGAATATTACATGGGCAGTATGACATCATTTGTTTTTGGTTTCTTTCAAACTGTAGATTGCATGAAGCATAAGTGTCATGTTTTGGTTGGCTTGTGTGCCACACTGACACTTAAACCGCACATGTCTTGTCATTTCTCACTTTTACAGTCTCAAGTGACCGTGAGAATCTCACTAGTTATTAACCAGGATGATTTAACGTGGTTTGACTCTTTTTGTTCTTGAATGAGGGTATTGGCTTCAACGGATAGTTGAAGAGAAAGGAAACCAGGAGCCATCAAGCCCCAAAAATCATGATGAAAGATGTTCAAACCATGTGACATGCTTTGTATGAGTTAAAAGTGTGAAATTGAACTCCCTGATAGTCTTCATTGCAGCTCTTAAATCTTAATTGTGATTGTGAGCTGTGAAAATTAGTTTTGTGTTGAGAAACACTTCTCTAACCTGAAGTAAACAGGAGATTTCGCTCTCAAAGGAGAGACATTTTGCACTTGCGAGTGTTTTGAGGCCGTGTGTAGGCTGTATCTCACAGACATTTGGCACGTATGCTTCAAAACATTAAATCACCATCTTCAAAAACGCTCACACTGGAATGGCACATTCTTTACTCCCTATGGATGTATGAAAGCTTCTTCTTGAATTTCAGTGCTTGTTAAATGTGTGGAGAGCATGCTAATAAACACTAAGGACACTGACAGTAAAACTGACAGTAAAGACATTCATAATGTTACAAAATGTTTCTATTTCAAATAAATGATGTTCTTTATCAAAAAATTCTGAAGAAAAAAATGTATCACTGTTTCCACAAAAATATTAAAGGGGTCATATGATGCGATTTAAATTTTTCCTTTCTCTTTGGAGTGTTACAAGCTCTTGGTGCATAAAGAAGATCTGTAAA